CTTTGCTGTCGTTCTTATTATTGTCTTTAGAACTTTTAATAAAAATGATACATTAAAAAAAAAAGGAATGACCAGCCACAGCCACAACTTCAACCCACAACTGGATGATCTCAGCATGGGGAAAAGTTATAATCCAGGCTGAATCAAACCCTGGATCCTGGAAATTACAGGTTACGTTCCCAACCTTCTCCCCAATATTTTTCATATTTGCACAGGATGACAAAGGAGCCCAAAGCAAGCTGCAGTGTATGCAATAAGTTGCAAAAATAAATAAATGAATAAGCTACGGATTTAGCATCTTCCATTCCTCCATGGCATCAAATGTTTCCTATAGTAGCAATCGTCTCTAGAGTAGGTTAGGCCAAAGAATTGGACTCAATGTGAACCAGGAAATTCTAATACTGTACACAAATCACCCCTCTATAATTTAGCTCCGTGCTTGGCGCTAGTGACAAGTCCTGTCCGAAGCAACACCCAACAACGCTCAATGATAAAACCTGCAACCTCCCTTCCTTGAGGCATATAAGCTCATGCTGAAAACATGCCTTGGTTGCTAGGTGGGGTACAGTACCAGAAAGCAATTAAAGAATGTGTTTCTTCAGTTCTGCAGTATTTAAAACTGTGAAGCCTTGCCGTGTCAAAAGTTTAAAAAAAGACTCTGAAGAATCTTGCCATTAAGGGCCACTTCGTTCCAATCCAGTTATCATTTCTGAGCTAAGTTAGAATTTTCCCATCCATTTTTCCCTCTTGTTCTGGAGGGACACAGTGCACATATAAAACCCTTAAATTTCTTTTTAAGGTCTCATACATAGACGCCTACATGCTTAGGCATATTCCTAAGGTGTTTTCTTCGCTTGCTTTTGTTCTTCCTTTCTTATTTTCAATTCTGTATTTTTAATTCTTGTCTTTGCTTGCTTCAGTAAAAAGCAATTCATTAAAAATCCCTGGCTGTAACTTCAGTGGAGAAACAAGTCACGAGGTGGACATAAATTCCTTTTGCGCAAAACAATTAAGCAGAACGATGCCAACACAGTTGGAATTTCAAGTTCTGTATAGATGAGATATTTTCTTCATTTAAAAAGGGGGAAGGAATTTGAGTGAATTGAGAAGCACAGCGCCTTGACCCAAACAGTCAATCCAGAACTGTCCTTCATTGACCCGAAATCCACTGAAACTTCAACCAAGTGTCTCAAAGTGTCCCGATTAAGATTTGTAAAGACATTCCCAAGAACAAACATTCAAGAGTCCTTGAATTTATGATTTACTTACAGGGTCAGATTTGTTTGGAGAGAACAAATAAAATCCTAGAAAAAATAAAGAGAGAATGGAGAACGATAAAACAAGTTACGTTTAAAAAGGCAATATAGAGAGAAAATGTTCCATAAATCCACATTTCTCTCTTTCCATCCTGGTCCCATTTCTATTTTAAAGAGAGTGGAAATATTGCTATTTTCTTTGGCTTAGCTTGGGAAAAGCTCAAGATTCGGGTAGGTGAAGATATTACAGATGACTTAGTCCTTGAATTTTGAAAAAGATGCCGTGCTGACTTTACAAAAGTCTGCAGAGATTAATTTAGCTGGGGAAGAGGAAGAAGGAATAGTGGAATATGGAATAATCTATGGAATAATCTCTCCACAGACGTTAAACTGGCCTACGCTCAACGGTGTCCACGGGCAGAGCAAGAGGTGAAAGGATGAATCTTATGTTGTGATGTTGCAATGCACACACTGGGCCTTTTGTCCTTCCCCCACAATGAAACACACAAGTGCATCAGAGTGATGTCATAATGCATTGCGCACTTGCATTGTGACATCTCGACCCACATTTTGTCATTCGGATCTCAGTTGGCTGCAAATGCTTCCGCCCTTCCTGAAAGGGTCCTGCCCTAACACTGAAAACTGGACTGGCCAGATTTTCTTTCTCACCCCACTCTTCCTGCCTTCCCCAAAAACCCTGATGAATGAACAGAATCGCGAAATGTTCATACCCAGGATAGCAAAGATGACCATGAAGAAAAGTAAAAGGAGGAGAATATCAATGAATGGAGGCAGAGACTGGAAAATCTGGCGCAAGTTTCTGGAAAAAAAAAAAAGTAATTCTTTTAGAGAAAAATCTTCTGATGCGTTGATGATTCCATGCCTTAAAATCATCCAGCGAGATGCCAATAAAATTCCGCCATGGTTTAAAGGCCCCAAGAGTTAAATAGACATACAAACAAATTTTAGAATAAATTCTTGTGCAAAGAAACCTGACTCGCCCCTTCACTAAACTGCTTTAGAAAGGGGGGTGGGGGGGAATCATCCTTTCTCCTCTGAGAGATTTTTCCTGCTATGTGTAATTTTTGTTTGGGGCATAACAGTCTGAACTGTGCTAGGCCATAACATAGTTTGCTTGATCTGGCTTAGGGTGATCTGCAAATCCATCGAAAGAAAGAAAGAAAAAGAAAGATTAAGCCATCATTTGAAATTCTAGTGTGGTGTTGCTTCCTGGGTCCCGGGTTTCTGAATACAGAAACTTGGCTTATTCCTGGGTTGATTTGAAGCATCATGGAAAGCTTCCAGATAGGAGCAGATGAAAAGTGGAAAACTAGGAAGGGATCACACAAGCCATGGTTCCTTTGTTCTGCAAGGCGAACTCCAGTTTCCCAAAAAACAGTGGCCACAGATTAAGTGTGTATAATATTTGACTGTAGCCAATGGCTTTATAGATATTTTAATGACTCTATAAGGAGGAAACTGGATGACTCAGATTACGGACACATTTGGCGTTTGCCATAATTCAGACCTCCAGTTAGTTGCTATCAAACAAAAAGGACTGACTAAAATCAATGGGTCACATAATTCTGTATCGAAACACAAGTGAAAGAGAACACTGGTCCTGTTACCAAGAATATCACACCAGCCTGGTCAAAGATGGCCTCTCCATTACCTTCGCACAGCTCCACAGTAACGACAGTCCACCAGGAAGATGCATCGCAAGGCTCGCGTAATCCGAAGGTGGGATGTCTGGCGCACCAACACCACGACCGCTTCTATAAATTGCAGGAACAGGACACAGGTCTGCATGGGGAGAAGACAGAGGAGATATCAGGGCATTCCAGGTTTAACCTTGGCAGAATGGCATTGTGCCTTCCATCAAAACCATGGGAGGACAACTAGTGGCTTCCAGACGTTCCTGAACTACAAGTCCCAGCATTGCCATTGGGAGGGGTGTTGGGATCTGAAGTGCAGCCTGGAGGACCATGGCTTTCCCACTTCTGCCCTGAAGGACACTCGGAGGCCTCAGGTTGCACTTCCTTGCCCCTGTTTGTCAATTCCTCCAAACGTTTGCTAGAATGGAGCTCTGCTTACACCTGAATTGGCTTCCTGACATTAACAGGAGATCATCCCGTGAAAAGCAAGGCCCAGGAGAAATGAGTATGAAGTGGCCTCCACTGAAAAAAAAAATCTCTTCTATATTAAAAGGTGAAGTTGCAATCATGTGGAAGGATGGCTTAAGCCAAACACATGGAACCCAGGAGACCGATAAACTTCTGTTCTAAGAAGTTCTCCAACAACTCCTGCTGGTTGCAAGCAGATGGCGAACTCTGATCTCCTGAGCTGAAAGCTGAAAGATGATTATGAAGGAAGAAAACTTCCCCAACTGTCAAACCACATAGCTCAGCTACAACAGATAGATTTGGGCTTCGGGCCAGAGAAGCATCAAGATGGCCTTGAAGAAGATATGCAGCAACGGGTGGGAAAACACGAGCTGAGCCCAGAAAAACAAGGAAGGTAAGAAAGAAATTCAGAATTGCCCCACCTTGACTCTACTGGTCTAAGAGAGAGGGGAGGAGAAATGCTGTTAGGCTCTCGAGATTCTGTTATTATAGGCTTATCAGTAAAGTAAGCCTTAGTATTTCTTATGGTGTCTGTTTCTTGACTTGGCTTACAAATATATACGTAAGAAGAAGAACAAACATGGTGGGATTTATTTCCAGGTCAAAATACCAGTCCAGTTCTTGCCAGCCCAGATCAAGTAGGTGAGGGTTCACCTTGACCATGGTCCTCTTGTGCCGGATGTAGGTATGGCAACCCAGCCATCTTAATTTCATGGAGAGCTCAAACACCACAACGGCCAAGGCAAACAGCTCCAGGGTGGCATGAACCTGAAACCAGATGGGGGAAAAACAAGAGGTGAGCATCCATGTTCCTTAGCTCATTCATAAAAACCAAGGAGCTTACATCACCATCCAAGAGTGCATGGAGTTCTTGCAAAATGAGCTATCCTTTCTGGAGAATGCCCTGGTTCATTCTTATGCCTTGCTAAATTTTTCAAAGCTCTGCTGATGCACTGTTATATTTATTTTTCCCCTTAAAAGGCAGGATATTGAGTACACTTTTGAACTTAAACTGCATGGCTTTTCCTCAATGCAAGCATACTCTCTGTAACTATGCATGTGTGTGGATCGATGGACGGAGCAATGGAGTGATGGACAGAGTGATAGAGGGAGGAACAGATGATTGGATGGATGGATGGATGGATGGATGGATGGATGGATGGATGGATGGATGGAAGGAAGGAAGGAACAATGGATGGAGTGATGGATGGAGAGTTTGATGGAGCGATGGATGGATGGATGGATGGATGGATGGATGGATGGATGGAGAGGGAACGAGAGAGAGATGGAGGGATGGGTGGAACAATGGATGGAGAGTTTGATAGAGCAACGGATGGAGGGAGGGAGGGAGGGAGGGATGGAACAATGGGTGGAGTGATTGATGGATGGATGGTAGGCAGGCAGGTAGGGATGGGGTAGTGGAGTGTGCAAAGAGAGGGGAAGAAGGGGAGAGAATTCAAGAGAATGACTACAGTGAGCATTTACACTTTGCTAACCTGCTTGAGCACCATGGCATTCAAATCTCCTTGCTGTCCCCAATTTATCTATTTGACCATGTTACACCCTAGTGAACAAAGCCTCATTTCTAGATTCATATGATACACATAACTCCTCCACTATTTGTCCTAACAAATAAAGCACATCGTGGCTTCACATGAAGCCCTAATTCACTCTACATCCAAAAGAGCAGTTGGGGTTCCAAGACACAAACCACCGAATCTCATTTTAGCCAAACTAGCATGTGGTATGAAGCTGTTAGGCAGCCCGTCTCTCCTTCTCCTTCCCCAATACGTTGGAAATGCAATTCTTGCTGTCTTGGGGCGGGGGATGGAGCTCACGTCTGCCTTGCACCCAGATCCTCTCCGCCCCCTTCTCCCTCCCCTTCCAAGGTCTTGCACTCCCTTCTCCCTCCCTCTCCTTCTACTACATACGTAAATGCCAAGGCGAAATATGGCAACCGCGGGGGCTTCGCAGAGAGACAGCAGTAAGAGCAATAACGCCGTGGTGAGTTCCATTAGATAGAAGAGATGGTTGTGGACAAAGAGGTAGGACACGAGAGCTTTGGCATCCTTGGGATGGGTGACGAATTTATCGTTGTTCTCTCCTTCCTGGAATATTTGAGGGAGGGGGGAGAGAGGAAGGAAGCCCACACAGTTATGTCAGAAACCTTAAATAAAATGCTCATAAAGAATTCCCTATTCCTCCTATTGAAAGGGAGCCCCAAAAGAAGCTAAACAAGATGCTGCACAGGTTGGAATAAGAGTTGGGAGGTCTTAATTCCAGTCCATGTCCACCCCATGGAAGCGGAGCAGGGGACTCGGGACCAGTCACTTATCTTTTAGCCCACTCTGTGGCAGGAAAGAAAGTAAGAGAAAGGATCTAGGGGTGCTCCTGCAGGAAAGGAGGGATCAACGAATGGGCAAATCGATCACGGCAGGAGAAAAGAAGAATGAAGCTAATGTGCTGCTGGAGAAGCTGGGTTTCTGGCTGATCAGAGCTTGTGGCAGTCCAGCCCCACAATCTCTCTCACCACTAGGTAGAACTGCTGGGAGGATGAGAGACACCCAACACCACCTGATGCCCTGTGCCAACATGGAGGAGCAATGGATTCATGACTCACTTCCCTCCATGGAAGAGACAGGGCCTGCCCCCAGGGTTCTATGAAGCTTCTCCTACAATCTTTATTATCCAAGCTGTGAAGGTCTCCCTTTCCTTCTGCCTGTCTTCCTGAAGTTAGCGCTTAGTCTCCAGACCAGTGTTCCTCAACCTTGGCAACTTTCAGATGGGTGGACTTCAACTCCCAGAATTCCCCAGCCAG